TACCCCAACTCCTTCCAGATAATGAATAGGTGCAACCTGTCCAGTCAATGGAGAAACAGTATTGCTTGATTTCATACTTGCAGTCATTAGATTCAATCCTGACACCATTCGTATCTTAGAGATAGCATAAAGCCAGGATCGTGGTGAGATACCAGGCACTCTGCAGCCAGAGGTAAGGATGGTACCAGGTCAGCTGCCAGTTCACCAGAGGGCAAGATTGTACATGAGTCATGCTTCACAGGACTTAGATGAGAGGGGCTAGGTTAAATAAGGAAGCTGCTTGCTGTGCACAGCAATGTACTTGGTGCATCTGCCATCGGCCTGGAGGCCTGGTGTCAAAATGAACCAGCATAGAGGCATCTGGCACTGCCGGTGTGGCACAGTTTAATCAAACATTAGAGTGCATTCTTCTGGCTTGGGAATAATGGGCACAATTGTAGAATGGTTACAGACAAGAAGGAGGTTATTTAGCCCATCATGTTTATGCTGGTTCTCTATAAGGACACCTCTGGTGATCCAACTTCCCTGCCCTTTCCATTTAGTCATGTATTTTGTTTCTCCCCAGGTACTGACCCATTATCCTTTTAAAAGCCACAATTGAATGTGCTTCCATCTTTTTGGTCATGCATTCAACATCCTAACCACTATCTCTCTTTGTTTTTCAAAAAGATCTTTTCAACATGTCATCACTGCTTTGTCTTTTGCCATTCAATTTATATTGGTGCCTTCTGGTTCTTTAACCCTTTTCTTCAAAAGAATTATTTTTCTTTATCTTTGTGTGGACCTCTCATGGTTTTCAACACCTCTACCACATTTCCTTTTAACTTTCTCTTCCTGATGGATAACAACCCTAGGTTCTCCAATCTATGTAACTGGAGTCTTTTATCCCTGAAACCATTCTCATGTGTCTTTCTTGCACCTGTCAACACTTGTTGCACTCATAAAAAAGCAAACAATACTGAATACATTTTCACCCCCGATGTGTTTTAATGACAAAGCTAAATACATCATCTCAGTATATTTTCGGGGTTTGCTCTGCCGCACATGTACCACTTAACTTCTAGAATTGCAGCCAATTATTTTAGTAAGCCTCAAGATTTGAGTGTGTTCCCAAATTGGAAGTGTCTTCATAGATTTTCCTGATGGGCAATGATTTTTACCCTGTTTCCATAGACAGGAAAGAACGGCTTCTAAATCTGATTGCCAAATACTGTCCTCGATCTGGTGTAATTACTGTTTAGCCAATAGTGTATCATTTGGCTTAAGGGCTGAAACAAAAATTAAATTCACTACAATAATACCCCACAGAATCCAGCTAATAGGATCCCTGAATAATCTGGGGCGGTGATATTGTTTTATTGCCCACCCATGGGTGGCGGGGTGGCTCAGTGGTTAGCACTGCTGCCTCACAGCTCCATGGACCCAGGTTCAATTCTAGCCTCGGATAACTGTGTCTGTGTGGAGTTTGTACGTTCTCCCTGTGTCTGCGTGGATTTCCTTCCCGGTGCTCCGGTTTCCTCCCACAGTCCAAAGGTGTGCAGGTTAGGTGAATTGGCCATGCTAAATTGCCCATAGTGTTGAGGGATGTGTAGATTAGGTGGGTTCGTCATGGTTACAGGGATAGGGTAGGTGGATAGGATGCTGTTCGGAGGGTTGGTGTGGGCTCAATGCGTTGAAAGTCTGGCTTCTACAGTGTAGGGATTATATGATTCGATATCAACTCCTAAAAGGCAGGGCCTGGTGATTCCCACTACCACCTAATTTCAAAAAATAAGCAAGTTCTTCCCAGTGTTCTGGTCATCTCTAAATTGACATCACAGAAACAAATGATCTGCTTATTATCACATTGTTTGTAGGAACCTGCTGTGTGCAACCTTCATATCGATTGTGTTGTGACAATAATTATACTTCAAAAGAGTTTTGTTGGCTGTAAAATGCTTTAGAATGACCTGAGGATGTGAAAGGCAGTATAGAAATGTCAGTCTGTTGAGAAGTCTATTCCCAATTTAATAATTTTTTTCAGTCGAAAGAATAATGTCCCGACACTTATTTGTGACACTCTCTGATTTTCCCCATTTCAGCATTACTGGCCACTTTAATAAATGGGACTCTCACCTCCCACTACCCAAATGTCCAACATTTGATGAAACGAGTGAGCACTTCCTTGCCTGCGTCCTATGTTACCATGTGAGTCTTTTAAAAGCAGACAGAAAGGGCTCTTGTTAGGCTGTGACTTTGACTCTGAACCAAGAAATTTAATGAATTGTAAATGTTATGGGACCAGTGAATCATCCACTTTTCAGTTCCTGACACTTTGAAATAAGATCAATGCACTTCCTTTCTCTAAATATAGACTTAATTGGAGATCTACTTGCATCAATCTAAAAGCTTCTCTGCTGATTGGCACTGAACGTGAAGTAACACAGCTCTTTGTTGGACAGTGTGTGGGCTGATACTGGAAGTAGATGCGAAGCCTGCTGTTAGAATGCCTTGGCTACTGAGCTGTCTGTCGAAAAGGACTACAGCTAATCAGTGATGCTGGCGTGGCTGCATTCTGATGTGTTTCTGGAAGGAAAATTATCCATATCCCATGTCAGTAGATGGCTGCATCATGACTGATTGTGTTGCACCTTTGAACTGCTCTAAGGCCCTTCATAAATACGAACGGACCCCCAACTGGAGCAGATTGAAAAAGAGAAATATTAGGAGGACTGGTCAAAAGTTTCGTTGAGTAGATAGGTTTTCTGGAAGATCTTAAAGCTGGAGAGAATGTTATACGTAAAGAATTCCAGAGCCTGGGGCTGAGATAGCAGAAGGGATGGTTGCCAATGCTGGTTTGATTGGAATGATGGATGCACATGAGGCTAGAGCTAGAGAAATGCAGAATTCTTCGTGGACTATAGTTAGAGGAGGTTCTGAAAATTTGTTTGGGGGCAAAGGGAGGTGAGAAGTCATAAACGGAACTAAACACCTCAACAATCCTCTCTCACTAGAGTATTAATCCTGAGAATTCTTTACTCATGAAGGCTGTTCTTCTTCATTGAGTATGTTCAAGAGTGAGGTAGATTTTTGGACACTACAGGAAAGGAGGGATGTTGGAATAGTGAGGGAAAGTTGCGTTGACCTAAGTCATCTTAGCGTGATTTTAATGTATAATGGCATGCGCATGAGGGATTGTATAGTTTAGACTCTACAACCTATTCTTAACCTTTTGAATGGATAGTCATAAGTTGCCATGATCGATGATCTTACGATTACCCTGGTGAGATCAACAGCATAAAGTGCGTATAAGTTTTGTTCCCTTTATTGTCGGCAATTGCTCTGAGGATGACTGAATGAAACTTCCAGGGGAATCGATAGATTTGCAATGTGACCACATTTCCGGATGTGTTAAATTGGCAATGTTGTATGTGTTGTAATATCTTTACTTTCACTTGCTGCTTCTGATGTAAAATCTAAATGTACTTAATTCTCACCTCTCATGCACCACTGGTCTGCATTAGCCAGACCCCACAGGCAGATGATTAATCGGTCAACAAGGTGCAGGGCTGGATGAACACAGCAGGCCAAGCAGCATCATAGGAGCAGAGAGGCTGACGTTTCGGGCCTAGACCCTTCATCAGACCCTTTTCTGATGAAGGGTCTAGGCCCGAA